TTATCCTTATGAACCTCTTTCAGATTTGCCCCTTTTTCAGGTTTGTCCTTTATTTTTTCCAGGAAAACATGGTCACCATACTTATATTCATCTGCCTGTCTGATCAGATCAAAAAAGATCAGCTCCCTTCCAGGTCCCATCTATCCAGCAATACTGATTGATAGGACCTAGGAAAAGGGCATATTCAATTGCTGTTCCTATGCTTTGGAATTCCCTCCCTACGGAAATCCTATCTACCTCCTCCCCCTTGGGTTTAAGGAGAGAAATTAAGATACTTGAATATAGGAGTCTATTGGTGGAGGCTTTAATTATTTTTTATTCCACATGATGCTATTTAGATTGGTATTTTTTCAGTGGGTTTATTTTTATTCGTGAGTTTTTATCTATGATAGTTAGCTGCTTTTTATTGGCAGTTTACTTCTGAATGTTAGCTGCTCAGAGCCTTTGGGAATGAGTACATACAGATATTGTAAGTAAAAAAAAATGTAATGTTAATAGAAATATGGAAGAAGGGAGAAACTGAAGAATATCAGGTGATAGTCTTTGTTCTTTGGCACAGATTGCGCTGATATTTATTTCATTCTCATGTAATGCTAAGTCAATATTTAGTATTACAAAAAAGACATGTGGCCTCCAAACCCCATTTTTTAAATTAGGACATCTCCAACTGTTGCCAAAAGTCAGTATTACAATTTCACACTATTTTGAGGTAGAAAATACATGAAAATACAAATTTTTAAATAGATCTAAGTTTTTAAAAAACCTCACACACCATTTTTCCTTTAATGTTGCTACAATCAGAGAGGAGGAAAATGGCTATAAACCATACTGTATTCCAGGATATGATAGCTAAAAGGGATAGCTAACAGTCTGTGAGCAAGAAGAAATGATATTTCAGAATTTATACAGAGTCATATCTCAAACATTTTGCACTCTCTTGCAGTGCCCTTTTTGAAGAGAAGACTTCAATTGTCCTACATATCTAGCTCTCGTAGTGTCCAGTGATGCTTATTTTCATTAACTGCATTCCTGCTGTCCCATTCAGATAAGTTCACCAACTTAGTTTCAGCCAGTTATTGAGCTTTGATAGCTATGAGCAAGAGGTGGAAGTTTGCATTATTAACATTTTACTGTTGTACTTAAACCATACATTATTGTTGATTATAACTCTGGTTTACTAAAGAAGCCAATTTTATATATCCCATTGTTGATTTTAGGAAATATATACAGTAGTTAAGAGTAAGTTCACTTTAGAGTAGTATCTAAGCTGCAGTTAGGCTCAAACAGAATTCAAAGCTTCTAAACTTTTCATAGCTACCCAGAAATAGGGGAATAAATATATGAGTTCAAAACACTTGTTAGTATTAAACTGTGGTTCAGTAATGCATACATTACATTCAAACACAAACCCTATGTGTGTACATTCCTCCGTTTTTTTTTTTTATCATACAAATTCCTAAACATAGTGAAAATTACTCATCAGCATCTTTATATGAGTTCAAAACACTTGTTAGTATTAAACTGTGGTTCAGTAATGCATACATTACATTCAAACACAAACCCTATGTGTGTACATTCCTCCGTTTTTTTTTTATCATACAAATTCCTAAACATAGTGAAAATTACTCATCAGCATCTTCTCAGAGAAATGGGAATGCAAATTAGCTTAGTTATCATGTATTAAATTAATGTGGTAGTTTGGTGAAAATTCTTCTTATTTATCCTATATTAACTGATAGGTAGACAACTCCCCCACACACACACACCAAATAATTACCTATGAACTGAGGACATAGCCTGGTAAGAAGTTGGAGAAAACAAGGGAAGAAGCAGGAGGAGCAAATAATAGCAAACCTCACTGCTGAAAAGTTGGTTGCCTTTGCAGATTAGCCTAAAGATTAGCAGTTGCTTGGGAGTGTTTGACCAAAGGAATTTTGACCCCTTTTATAATATGTATCTAAATAAGGGTTTGCTTTCTCTCCCTATTCAGTTACCTCTTCCCCTTGTCTTTCATCTCCATTTGGTTTTGTTCTCCCCTTTCTCTTTTCTTTCTTTCCTACCTATTCTTTTCATCCAGCCTTTATTCTGTTCCTTTTCATTCTTTCTTGCTTTCAGAAAAAAAGAATGGGGAATGCGTATGAGTACATATGTGTTTCTCTGTGTAACAATGATTTGTGTATGAAACAGAATGGTTGGAATATGTAAATACGGGATTGGTTTTATAAATGAGTTACCTTATTTTACAAGCAATTAATTTTAATAAATATTTATTGCATTTAATACTTCTTTGTTATGGTACTTGTATTTTTATGTAAATACATAATCCTTGACCTGGCCCTGACTTTTTTTTTGAGTGACTGGAAATTATGTCTGTGCACATACAAGTGAGATATATGCACACATTTATTAGGGAGGGAAAATTTCCAGAATTGGTTTCAGCTAGAGCTGTCAACCTTAGGCTGACAAAATGAGAAAACTGGACATTGCATAGGCTTTTTGTCTGGGTTTACATTTTTTTTCTATTTACTGTTTTTTGGTGAAGGCGTTTTAAATTGATGGTGATTTTTTTTTGGTGTAAATATTGTATATACTTGATGACACTCTTGAGGGAACCTAATGGTGATGCAAGATTGCAGTGTAAAATGTTTAGAATAATCTTGTGTGAACGATCATTTTTACTAGGACCAAACCTTATGCCTAGCCACGCCTTAGGTCCTAGTTCCAGGAAAAGTTAGGAAAAGAGTGGTTTAGAACTGAAAAGCTCTATAAGGATAGTTCCAAAGAGAAAAAGAAAATTTTGAGCATGGGAATGTGGAAGGAAAGTCTCAGGGCTGCTGAAGCCATTCCCCTGAGGATAACCACTGCTAAAAAGATATCTGAAGAGCGAATAACATTTTTAGTAGAGTAGGAATTCCCCAACAGACCTTAATAGATCAAGGGATGAATTTCTAATCTGCTGTATTAAAACACCTATACACATATTTAGGAATACAGGTAGTCCTTGAGTTATGACGATAATTGGGACTGGAATTTCTATGTAACTGCATTGCTTAGTGATGGCATTCCCAGCATTCCCTATTGCTGTCATTAACCAAATCCCATTGGTTGTTAGGAAAGGAGCAGGGCAGCAGGAGCAGCTGGGGCTTTGTGCTGTGGCGCTGGGGTGGCTGGCCGCACCACGGGGCTTGAGGCGGCACTCCTTGGCAGTGGCGCTGGAGCTAAGTGGAGGCCCAGGGGCAGCGGCTGAGACTGCTGAAGGCCCTGGCTCTCTTCTTCAGCCCCAGCACCACCACCACCGAGGAGTGCTGCTGTGCAGGGTGGCTAAAAGGGCAGAGATGGGCGGAAGATAGGTGGGTGGGGGAAGTTGAAGCGGCCCTGTGGTCATAAGTGTGAGTGAGCTGCCAAGTGCCCAAATTTTGATCTCATGGCCATGGGGCCACTGCAGTGGCCGTAACTTTTGGGACCAGACATAAGTACCATTTGTTCAGTGCCGCCAGAACTAACCAGTCAAATCTTAGCTCCCAAACTGGATTGGCAGACAGAGAGATTTTAAATTATGTAGACCAAGAATGCATAGAGTTAACAGTCCATATCCTTAGAAGACTCTACTTTAAACATTTCAAGAGAATACAAGACAAACTACCCACTTTCAGTATTCCATTTTTGTACAAATAGTACAGAATTTAGCCACTACTAAATACTGTAATTTTTCCCTCCAGTTGAATATATCTTTTGCATATGCCTCTGTGCCTACAGTTTTATATCAAAGTGATATTTCTTTCACAGATCACACCACCACCATCACTATCTGATCCACTTAAGGAACTCTTTAGACAGCAAGAAGTTGTAAGAATGAAACTCCGTTTACAACACAGTATTGAAAGGGTAAGAATGTAATAAAATCTATTGATTAGCTTCTTATTTAGCTTTATTTAGCATTTCTTCAATTGTCTATAAAGACTGATCATCACTTTTAAGAGGTTTTCATTTTTAAGTGAAAATTATAAGTAAGAAATTATAGTTATTAAGTTGGTTAATTCAGAACTGAACATTTCCATTTTTTTCAAGGGAAATTTAAAGTACAATGCATTCTTCCTTCCTAAAGTTCTGTCTTATATTTCTAACAAGATTCCTTCATAAGAATATGGAAAGGTTGCTTTTTCAGAGTGACAAGATATGTCTTTGAATTTTTTTTAAAAAAATTATGATTACATGATTTTGCTAAATTATATGTCTTTTAATTTAATTAGGAAAAGCTTATTGTTTCCAATGAGCAAGAAGTACTACGAGTCCATTATCGAGCAGCAAGAACTTTAGCAAATCAGACTTTGCCCTTCAGTGCGTGTACAGTACTGCTGGATGCTGAAGTATATAATGTGCCTCTGGATACACAGGTAGAAGAAAGTTGTTTGAAGCAGTGTGGTAAAAAGTAAAAATGCCCTCAATATGATGTTGACCCATAGTGAATATATGGACATATCCATGCAGTTAATTGGAAACAGTAGAAAAATTGTTTGCCATTATGTTCTTCCAAGTTGTTTGGTTTTTTTTATTTCCAGTCCTGACCCTGCTTAACTTCTGAATCCAAACCAGGCATGCACTGAAACCTCCTGAAAAACATTATGGAGTGCTTGTTATTTAAAATTAGTAATTTCATGCCAATTCATTACCTTATTTATTATTTATTTACTACAATTTATATGCCACTCAGTGCAACAAAACTCAAAGCACCTTACAACAACAGCAGCAACAAATACAACATTAAAATAAAAATCATCATAAACACAAGAGAAACAAAGCAACAGCAGCCTAAGGAATAACCATAACATCCACAGCAGAGGGTCCCCCTCATCACCAATCTGTTCCAGGGCTCTCTAGAAGAACCAAGTTTTAATGGCTTTCTGAAACAACAATAAGGTGGGAGCCAACCTAATTTCAGAAGGAATGTTGATCCAAAGAAGGGTGCCAGTGACTGAGAAGGTTTCTTCTAGTGGTCCTTGAAGATGACATTCCATAAGAAAAGGGATCTGGAAAGAGTCCACCCTTCCCAATCTTGTTGGGTAGGCAGAAGCCACTGAGATAAGGTAGTCTCATATTCAAGTTCTAAGCCATGTAAGGTTTTAAAGGTGACAATCAACACCTCAAACTGCACCTGGAAGGAAATTGGTAACTACTGCATCTCTCTCATTAGAGGTGTTCATGGGAAAACACAGAAGTCCCCATCATTACACAAGCTGTTCCATTTGGACCAGTTGAAGTTTCTGGATGGTCTTCAAGGGCAGCCCCATGTAGAACACATTGCAGTAATCCAAATGAGAGTTGATCAAGGCACGAATGAGTATTAGCATAGCCTCCCAATCCATAAAAGATTGTAATTAGTGCACTAGATGAAGATATGTGTAGGTTTTTCTAGCTGTAACTGCCATCTGCTCTTCAAGCAGTAGGTTTTTCTAGCTGTAACTGCCATCTGCTCTTCAAGCAGTGACTCCAAAAGGACCTTCAGGTTATGAACCTGGGCAATGAATATCCCTAATATCAAAATGCTTCTAAACCCACAGCCATTGCAGCCTCCTAGAATTAAGCCTAAACTTGTTCATCCCTATCCAGAGCCTCCAAGCACCAGGATAAGACCTCCACCACACCTCCTGTTTGCCATAGAGTTGAGAATTACAACTGGTATCATTCACACACTGATGATACTTCACCCCATGCCAGCAGATGACAGCAATAAATTGAACCTTGATTTCATTATCAATAGGGCTTGATTTGATACACAGCCAGTATTGGAATTCTTTCATAATGGTTCATTAGCTTTTCTACAGTAAATACACTTTTGTGACTTTGGAAGTCTATTCTTGCAGTTTCCTAGTCAGTCAAAAGAAGTCTGAGTACTCACATATGCAGATAAAGCAGAAATTAGGAAAAATGATTAGGAGGAAATAGGAGATCTGTATACACTCCCCATATTCACATCCAGACATTATTTAAACTTTAAAAACTACTTGGTGGATATAGGTCTTGGGGCTTCTCTTTTACAGTATTTCAGTCTTGTTGGGCCATGTTCAGAAGGTGGTATTAGAGAACAATTTTCCATTATCTAAACCTGTGAGGTCCCACAAAGTTGCACCTTATCTATTTTGCTCTTCAGTATTGTAGAGACTAAGGAAGATTACCTTGATGGAGATACATGAGCTCTGTTATCAAAGCAATGAGGGATAAAATATATCTTAAGTCCACAACAGGCAGATAAGTGGCTCAGATAGACACCTCCCTAATTCTCTGAAGTGTAAGACGGGGAAGGAAATACTGCACAATCAGACTTGCAAGATTTTATTATAGACAATCTCAGTAAAAGTAGTTTTAGCCTTCTGGCGCAGTTGATTTCTTGGTCTAGTCTACCTAGTGGGGCTGGCAGTCATCTTGCAAGTATAATACCTGTTTTTAATATTTATATGAAACCACTGAGTGGAGATAGCCAACAGTTTGGGGTACATTATCGTGAATATACTGATGGTACCAAACTTTACATTGTCGCCCTGGGCTGTAAGAGAAATACTACTGACATTCTATCCTGGTGCTTGTGGGCTGTAAATGTCTGGATAGAAGAGAACATACTAAAGGTGAACTCAAGACCAAGTTGCTGTTATGTATACATTGGGATCCTCTGTTGACACTAGTATTGTCTCTGGATAGGCAGGCAATACCTGTGAAACAAAGGATTTGTGATTTGGAGTTCCTGGTAGAACAGCAGGTGGAGGCCATGGTTAGAGGGGACTTTGGCAGCTTCAGCTGGTGTGCCAATTGCAACTGTACCTGATGCAGAAGGACCCAGTTATAGTGACTCTTTATTATTTATTTATTTATTTTATAATATTTTTATTGAAGTTTACAAATACAAAGATAAAAAACTAAAATAAGAATATAAAAAGTAAAAAAGAAAAAATACAAAGTGCAGAGAAAAGGGGGGAAAAAAAGAAAAAAGATATATAAAGAAATGACTTCCCCCTCCATCAAGGCCAGTACAAACAACTTAAGTAACTTATCACCTTCTCTTATATTTCAGCAAAAAATCATAAAGCCTTGTCATTCAGTCCTAATCAGCAAAAGTCCATTAAGAGTTACCAGAAATAATAACGTATATATTTTAACCTTAATCAAATAAATCAATTTTATATTCCTTTACTTTAACACAGTAACTTATCACTTTCTCTAGGAATACAGCAAAAAAAAAAACCTTCTTCCCCATCTTATATCTTTAAAATCTCGTCATTCGGTTCTAGTAAAAAAAAGTCCATTAAGAGCTACCAAAAACAACAACATATATATTTTATTCTTGATCAGATTAAACCCACTTTGTATTCCTTCCATTTACTTTTAAGAACCTTGATCTTTAATTACTTCAAATAGTGTCCCACAAGTTTTCTTATTATTTTCTCTTTGTCTCTTCTCAGAAACTCCTTCACAACTTTAACATGTCTCTTTTGTAAATCCAACATAAGAAAGCTATCTAAGTCACTCTTCTGATTTATTATTTGTATGTCCCCTTTAATTTCACCCAGTTTCATTTGTAAATCCAGTGTAACATCGTTTTCCATGTCATTCTTGTAGACTGACATTTTAAAATCCATTTTCCTATCCACATTCAAATCAGCCTCACTCTCTGTTTTATCCAGTAAAATCTGCTCCTCTTCCATAACTTCTTTTGAATCCATTTTTATAATAGCAGACATTCTTAAGAGTAATTTCTGAGTGCATTGTTCCCAAATATCCTTGAATTCTTCCACAGTCAAATAATATTGCTCCATTCAGCCTCACTCTCTGTTTTATCCAGTAAAATCTGCTCCTCTTCCATAACTTCTTTTGAATCCATTTTTATAATAGCAGACATTCTTAAGAGTAATTTCTGAGTGCATTGTTCCCAAATATCCTTGAATTCTTCCACAGTCAAATAATATTGCTCCATTCTGTATTAATTATAATCTTTAGTTCTCTCTGGTTCCCTCTAGTTAACCTTCAAAGTCTCCTCTTATCATGCTTTTTTCCCCTAATCAATAACACTTTCCCACAGGAAGATTTATTACAGTTAGTTCCAAAATCTTCATATATATTTTTTGTAAAATTTTAAACAACCCACAGGGAGTATTCTTGTAATTAATCACAAAAATTCATCTGGCCCCTTAATCCATTTATAGACCTTCTGGCTGATCAGGCATACCTTTCCTTAAGTTCTTGTGTATATATCCTAAAGATTTTCTCCATTTTATATTTATCTTACAAATGACGACCAGATATATCCAGAATAATGTCTAAATTTTATCATGATTGCTGTTGATTCTCCCAGAAAATGGTAATAAAAATTGGTTTTTTATTTATTGGTATAAAATGGTGAGCATTGCAATTATGTTAAAATATTTTGTGTTATAAATTTTCCAAATACATAAAATTCTTTATATAAATTAATTCAACTCACAAAAAAAGAAGTTGTGATACTAATGTAAAATTTTTATACACTTGTATATGTCTTGAAGCCAAGTGGCTACAGGCAGTAAAAAAAATTTAGAGATGTTTTATGAACTGTCATAAGAGCATTAATGGAGCTTACAGTGCAGCTCTATTGCCGAATTAGAACTATATTATCAAAGACATAGCAAATGAAGAAGACCACACACTGTAGGATATACACTAGCGGGCTGTAAAAAGATACAGATAGTCTTTGGTTAATGACTATCCTGTTTAGCAACCATTCAGTTACTAAATGGTGCTGAAAAAATAACTTTATGACTGGTCCTCGAACTTAAGGCTGTCGCAGCGTCCCTGCAGTCATACAATCACCATTCAGGCACTTTGCAACCAGCACATATTCATGACCATCACAATGTCCCACAGTCATGTGATCACCATTTGCAAGCTTCACAGCTGGCTTCTGACAAGCAAAGTCAACGGAGAAGCCAGCAGTAAAATCGCAAGTCGTGGTCATGTGATGTCTCACTTAATGGCTGTGCGTGATTCATTTAACGACTGCAGCAGAACTGATGTCATAACTCCAGCGCAGTCGTGATGTTTCGCTTAATGACTGCATCACTTAGTGACAGAGTTGCTAGTCCCAATTGTGGTTGTTAAGTGAGGACTACCTGTATTGAGAAAGATTGTGCAAAGAAGAGTTTCTCTGGATTGGCTGGCAAATACCCTTTTTTCTTTTAACTCTTCCACTAAATTGAAAAAAGTCTTTACCTAAGCAAAATAGCACCTTTAGAGACAAACCGTAGTTTTCATTAGTTTTAAATATATATTTTCATCAAAGACTGTGTATAGCATGGGGATGAATGGTTATTAGCCTATAATTAACAGCTGTAATTTTTAATATGTTTAATTTACAGACTGATGACAGTAAAACATCAGTTAGAGACCGATTTAATGCAAGGCAATTTATGTCATGGTTACAGGATGTGGATGATAAATTTGACAAATTAAAGGTATGTATCTTCATTTAACTCCTCCCAAAATATTTTTCCAGTAAAAAGTTCTAGTAACTCATCAGACATGCTGCCCACTCCATCCAACTCTTTTGTGTCATAACAAATTCAAGTGAGAATAGCATTTTATCTTGTTCTTCTAGTAAAACAACTCCCAAAATGCCTATAAACTATTTTTAAAAAACTGTCTTTGCTCTTAGATTTAAAATCTGAAAGAAATAGCAGTATAGCTGATGGAACAGCATTGGTATCCAAAATTCTCTGTTCTACACTTTCTAATCAAGTAATTGTTCTAGATGATACTGAGTCGGAAGGAGCAGGTTCCAGAGTTTCCTTGCATGTAGGAAGCTTCTCTATCCATTATTTCTGAGTTCAGTGCAGTACTTGAAGAACTGTGTGGTCAGAAATTTCTCCCATTATTGACTGAATGAGCAAGCCAATGCTGATCATTGTACAGTTTAGAGTACAGCAGAATTCTGGCTCAGATATTCTTAATGCACCTTTCCAAGTACACAACCAACACAAATGCAAATACATTCAACATTTGTTTCAGTAGGAGTTAAGCAGCACATTTTCCTCCTATTTTAAACAGAACCCTATTTGAATGAAACAATATAAAATTTTAGCTTATGAATAAGACAAGCTAGTGTGCAAAAGGTGCAGCAGAAAAACAGGGGGAAACGTTTTTAATGTTATTAGCTATAATAGCTAAAATGAATCTCCAAGTTGAGCAAATTGTAAGCAGTGAATCTACAGCAGCCCTATATGTTGATGAAGATTCTCAGGCATCCAGGTGGAATTATCTGAAGGTTGAGTCATGGCAACTGGACTTTTCTTTTGGTTTGATACGTTTCGCTGCTTGTCCAACCAGCTTCTTCAAACCAAAAGAAAAGAAGTCCAGTTGCCATGACTCAACCTCCAGATACAGCAGCCCTATAGTTATATTTGCAGTTTAGAGATGCGCAAAACATTTCATAGTCAAAATGTTCTATCTGTGGATTGTCCTGTTTAGACCTTGGAATGCAATTCTGAGCTAGTGTCTTAGAAGCTATCTGAGTTCACAATGTCCAATTTTGAGGTGGTATGTTTCCAGTGTAGTTCAGAGAGGAAGAAAAAACAAAGATAAATCCTATAGGGCACACATAAAGACTTCCATTTCTGTCCTTTGGAATCATATCACTAGTATTTTAACTATGGTATATAGTAACTTGTATATGTAAATGCTATTTTTGAAAAAATGGTGAAAACATATTTCTGCATTTTTTGAAAAGGAAACAAGACAGGAGTCCTCAACTTTATAGAACGGAAAATATGGAGGATTGATTCATACACAGTACAATCCAAAGTAAAACCCATTGAATTTAGAACAGGTAGTCCTCGCTTACCGACCACTCATTCAAGGACCGTTCAAAGTTATGACGGTGCTGAAAAAATAACTTTACGACCATTTATGACCTTCGCAGCATCCCTCAGTCGCATGACCACCATTATAGTCAGTACGCATTGTCCTGTGTCTGACCTGTTGTTTTTCTTTTTTTTCCCCCTTGTGGAGTGGAGAGATTGGAAAAGAAGGGATTAGAAAAGAGTAAGCAGGCACACAATGGGGAATACACATCAAAAGCATTGTGCTGGCACCAGCAGCTGCAAGCATACTCAGCAAACAGCCAGTGTATTACACATTGTGTGCCTGCTTACTCTCTTCTAAACTCTTCATCTCCAATCTCTCTACTATGTGGGGGTGGGGGGTGGCAGAGGAGAGATTGCCTATAGAAATTGCTTGGCAGGGCCCTTCTTTTCCAGGGGGGAAGAAGAGGGGCTGAGGTTGGCATGTGGAAAAGGGAGGAGGATAGGGAAGTGCCAGAGCGACTTGGGCATTGATGGGGGTGGGGGAGAGAGAGGCGCATGGGTGTTTCCTCTCTCTTGCTTTGCAGACCCTGGCGGGGCAGTGTGGTTGGAAAGGAAGGGATCGATGAAGGGAGAAGGGGGGGGCTTCCAGTTGTGCACATTGCAGGAAGGGCCTGTGGGTGCCTTCTCTCTGCAAGCACGCCAGGGAAGAAACTCCAGCTGCATGCAACTTGGAATGTCAAACGGCCAGGAAGGTGCCCCTTTGGATGCCTTCAGATTCAGGGCCAGCCAGGAAGAGATGTGCAGGAGGTGATGGGTATCTTTCCGAGGCAGAATCCCAGTCTCCTCTGTGGCCAAATAGGAGTAAGGGCCCTGATAGGAGCAGCAGACAAGGGAAGCCACCTCGCCACTCTACTCCACTTAGGGCTGCATCCAACAGGGCCCTTGGCAAAGCCCCATCCTTTACCACTTCTCCCTCCTCACCTTCCAGTGTCCATATTGGGCTAGGGATGCCTTCCCCCACAGTATGCATGACTGCAATCCCCCCCTTCTCCCCTCATTGATCCCCTCCTGCGTAAATGCACTGCCCCACCTGGGTCTGCAAAGCAAGAGAGGAAACACCCGCGTGCCTCTCTCTCCCCTGCTTCTGTCAATGCCCGTCACTCCAGCACTTCCCTGCCCTCCTCCCCCTTCCACATGCCAAACACAGCCCCTCTTCTCCCCTCGCCCACCCAGAAAAGGCAGTCTCTCCTCTGCCCCCCCTTGCAAAGCAGAGAGATTGGAAATGAAGGGATTACAAGAGAGTAAGCAGGCACACAATGGGGAATATACCATCTGTTTTCCAAGCACACTCACAACTGCCAGCACCAGTGCATTGCTTTTGATGTGCATTCCCAATAGTGGCCTTACTCTCTTCTAATCCCTTCCTCTCCAATGTATGTAAATACAAACATTTGTTAATTATCCAGCGCCAGGATGAGCATTCCAAAGGATGAGGAAGTGGTTAGAAGGCAAACAAAAGCCAAAGGTGTGGAACTTATTACTCTCATCAGTTTCAACCCAGAAAGCACAGTCATCGTTACGTGATTTCTCACTTAGCAACCGCTTCGCTTAGCAACCAAGTTGGCAGTCCCAATTGTGATCGCTAAAAGAGCATCTGTAAGTGCATGTAGAATTGAAGCCAAAGAGTGCTATTCTTTTAGAGGATAGATTGTTGCTTCTGGTTTTTTTAATTAATTAAAACACAAGATATTATTATTAAAAATTAAATTCAATGCTTACATTATTGTTACCATTATGGATTAAATTTTTAAAAGAAATCTGTAGATAAACCTTCTCAGAATAGGTCATAAGGACTAGGCCAAATCATTTCACAAGTCTGATTGGCTTGTGGATTGCCAAACTAACAGTTCCTGCGTTAATAGAAGTACTATGTGCTTGTTTATATAGAACTTTGCTTGAAGTAATTGAAGGTTCTTCTATTTATTTTGAAATAGACATGCCTCTTGATGAGGCAGCAACATGAAGCAGCAGCTTTAAATGCTGTTCAGAGACTGGAATGGCAGCTTAAGCTACAAGAACTTGATCCTGCAACTTACAAATCGATCAGCATTTATGAAATTCAAGAATTCTATGTTCCTCTTGTGGATGTTAATGACGACTTTGAATTGACACCTATATGACAACTAGCATTTCTTGCTGTTACAGCTCAAGACTGTGGGATGTTTAAATTATAGCACTAAAATGGAATACTGCCTTTATCAATATTCCATGTATTCCTTTTGAAATGTTCCCCAGATCTCATTCAGTATTGCACATGTGCATACCATTTAATAAATGGTATTATTTTAGCCTCTAAGTTTAAAAAGCATCTTCCCAATAAAACTATCTACAACAGTCTTTCACTAAAGATTTAACAGCGCTGGCAGCTGTTAAAAGTCCACCAAAAATTCTTGCTATTTAAAGTTCACTTTAATGGTTTTTATTATTAAAGTTTTACAAAAACAACAAAAACCTGTGGAAGAACTTATAAGCTTGTGGGAATGTGCAGAATGAGAGTCTATTCATCTTACATAATTTATAGGTTAACTGTACAGTTTTCTTTTTGAAAAAGATGTTATATTGTTTTCATTTTTTAAAATAACTTATTTTATACATATTGTGCAAATGTAAATACTCTTATATTTAATGTTCAGCCCTGTATAAATATAGATATTTTAATTGTAAAATTGTTTTGTCTAATGTTTATTGGACCAAAATTGTTGTTGTTTCTTATGTGTAATGTACAGGCAATTTTCTTTTAAAAGCATGGTGTTTGATTTAGCTGCTTGTTCATCACCATTACTGCTAAGATTTGATACTGAGTGGTACTGCATGCTAGCTCAGTTGAAATTTTTCCCTAACGCAGGGTACCTAAATGATTGAAACATTTGTTACCAATCCAATATACTGCTTTGTACAGCATCCATTCATTCAGAGGAATTTGCATGAATCCCCTTTCATTGTAGTATGTAGCAGTGCTTATTGGATTATGTCTTCACAGAGCCACTTGTCTTTTGCTCTGCTGCTATAATGCCATTTTTGTGACTTACCTTGAAAAGAGTATTTTGTTTAAAATCTTTACAAGATTAGAAAACTAGCTCCTAAAGCCTGGTCTCAAAAGGAGTTTTTCAATGTCCCATTTCTTTGCTTTTAAATGCCTCTCAACGAAAAATCTTAAATTGTATATTGTCTATTTTACTATTCCCTGATATGTAAATAACTGTAAATACAATGTTTAATAAATTCTATTGGTCATGCTAACAGATGGTTGAATCCTTGTGATGGTGAAATTTTCATTCTTGAAGTTTTATACAATTTGACAAATAAATCCTTGAAAGTTCCATGATAAGACTGTACTTGTATATTCCTATTGTATGTGAACATATGATTAATATGTTGCTATTATGTTAGCAAAATGTCTGCCACTGCCACTAAAAACTTACATTAAGCTTTTACTTGCATATTTTGGATCAGTCTCTCTGGCTTATTCGAATTTTGGCTTAATGTGATAGTTGAACTCAACTACTGTTGTTTAAAAACAGTGTGAATAAATATATCCATCTTGAGCTCCTTAAGAATGGCTAGACACTATTAAGAAAGGAATGGAATGTACTGTCATCTGTCCACTGTCATCTTCTCCCATCCATTAATAGTGTTGCAACTGCTTTCTAATTTTGCCCCCTGCCTTGCAATGTGAATAATTTAAAAAATGAACATTTGTTCAGGAAATTAATGAAATTATATTTTCTTTAGATGTGGTGGGGAAGGAAACACCCTTTTACTTCTGAACTATGCTCAGGTTAAATTTTATTTATTTTCCCCCATAGCATTTTAGGAAAATCAGTGTAAACTAAGCTGATTCCTACCTGCCAAAATTCATTCCAGCCAAACAAAAGCATTGAGAGCTAATAGATGGATAAGAGTAGAAGAATTGCCTTGATGGATCATTCCAAGAGTCTATCTCATGTAGAATGCTTAGCCAGATTCATGTGGAAAAGCTACAAAAAAGTTACTAAAGAAACCATTAAACTTTGTGATGAGCTATTATTATCTATTAGTAATTTTCTTTGGTCAGTTTTATATATTAGCTGTTGTATTAAAAAAAATCACAGAATATGAATAAAGTTAGTGTAATGTGGATATTCTGTTCATCACATAAGAAGCAGTTAAACTGTTTACTTGGTTTTCTAGGTTTTGGTTTTGTATTATCTGTTTGCTTACTCCATTTAAATGTTCACTTAGGGAGAGATGTACTTTTCTCACAGGAGATTGACTAAAAACATTGATACGTTTATTGTATTCTCATTAATGTTCCACTAAGTTATTGCAACTTGCACAATGATTGTACTCCAAAGGATGAGTATACAGATCAGTTATGAATGTTTTGTACAAATTTAACAATTTAACTGGTACAAAGTTTTGCTTAAGAACTTACAAAGAATAATACCATAAATCGATAGAGAATTACCTGTCTAAGCACAGTATAAGCAATTTTCAGAAAAGGCAGAGGGATGTGAGTTCAAAAAAGTAACATAAGATGGGTAATGAAAGAGAAGGAAAGGGAAGAGAGGAGGAGAAGGAGAAGGAAAAGAAGAAGAAGAAATGTTTGCTACCATGACTACAAGGTTTTTTTTATAGGAATATGGAAAATTTTAAGACTAATGTGTATGTCAGAACTATGATTATTATTCTGAGGAATTTACAATGAACAAGAAGCAGTAAGAACTGAACTTAGAGAAATAGAATGGTTCAGAATCAGAGAAGAAAAACAAGGGTGCATATTGTCCTTTAATTGGTTTAATGTCCACAGCAAATTATATTATAAAAATTACATGATTGGAAGATATGACAAAACTGGAGGTCCAAACACTAATACATGTGATATGTAGATGATACTGTTTTATTAATAAAATTAAATAAAAATCATTATGAATCCAAAAATGGAAAGTGAAAAATCCAGGTTAATGTTAAATATGAAGAAGTCTGATGTCAACATAAATACTTAGTTAACTTACAGCTGATTTTGAAGAAGACATGGTAGTACATAGTTTTATTTTCTTGGATTTAAAAATACATAAAGATTAATAATTTGTGGGAGAAATAAAAAAGGAGATTAATCTTGAAGAGCAAGGCAATTCAAACAAGATCATGAAGGATAGCAGCTTTCTAACAACAAAATTCACAATAATTAAAGCAGTGATCTTTCCAGTGGCAATGTCTAGCAGGGCATTGAGAAAGAGAGAGAGAAAGACCAATGCCTTTAAACTGGATTTGAAGAAGTTACTAAGAGTACCAGATTGTAAGAAGGACAAATCAAATAATCCTGGATCACATAAAGGCTGATTGCTCTCTTGAAGCAATGATCAACACATGATGAATAACGCTAAGTCATGTACATAGGATTTGTGTTGTGAGTGGATGATAGAAAAAAGATTTGACAAGCTTGAGGAAGGTAAAAGAAGAGAAGGACAACAGAAATCAAAGACTGTAATGTCAGAGATTAAACACATTGTTACTATTAAAGATATGCCAAGATGGCAAGTATTTGTTCATATAGTTGCAGAGTTAGATATGCACAACTACTAAAGTGAAGGGATCAAAAACTAAACTGGCAATATCTAAATTGGCAATGTTAACTTCATAGCTTTAGAATATGCGCAGAGTTCTCTATAGCCAAGCTTCAGTACTAACATCATTTAGTGAAATTGCAAGAAGAAGCAACTAACCACAGA